AGTATATAATATATATGTGTGTGTGTGTGTGTGTGTGTGTGTGTGTGTGTGTGTGCGTGCGCGCGCGCGCGCGCGCGCGCATGCAACATAATTGAAATTATTGTACTTAGAAAAATAAGTTCTATAATAAACTATAATATATACTTAGCACTACAAGCGGATGCTCAAATATTTGAATTCAGTACAAGCTTGTTAATGAGAAATTTAAATTGTTCAATGTGACATAACATGCAACCGAAATTTGAATTTAAGATCCGTTAGGAATTTTGAAAAGGGAGAAGTGCAAAAGAATGCGCGCAGGCCTTGAAGTTTTAAAAGGGTTTAAGTAAACTTTTGAGAGCCTTTCCCGAAGTTCTACCATCCTCGAATATCTACTTTGCGTGGACTGCATTCTTATTCATAAAAGTAAAATATTGTAAAAAACTCACAATTTAACAACACAATGAGTATAATCAGAATTTTTCGATGAGTCGATTCTTTTTCTTTTTTCTATGAGGAAAGAGGAATTGAAAGAGAGATTTTTCAATCAAAAATAATAGATAATTTTTGCATGAAGTATATTAAATTTAATTCTACTATTTGCAGGTTTTTAAACAACAATGAATATTTTAGCACATATGTTTCAAAGAATTTGAAAAAAATATAATCGATTTTACATTGTTTGAATATTAATATTCTTTATTTTACAAAATAAAGAATATTATATCGCCTCAATACACATTTGATAATATTATTTGACAATATTTACATTAAACAATATTAATTACTTCTACAATCTATTTTTATAGTTTTAATTTTTTTTACATTTTTTTAACTTTTTACGATATACATTAAATATAAATTAAATCTCACTTTTTTAAAAATTATTCAGTTTTTAATTGTCATAAATATTTCATTTTAACAATTATAATTAATTAATAAAATTATTATATATATATATATATTATATTATATATGTTATATATATATAATATTATTTTATATATATATAACAAAATTATTGATTAAATTTTAAATAAAATTTCATTATTATGTTAAATTTTTTTAAGTTTTAAATTATTTTGACAAAAATTTTAGTTTTATTAAATAATATTTTATTATTTGCATTAAACCTTTTATATCTGAATAAAAAGAAATTAATAATAATTATTAATGATAAATAAATGTAATTTTAGTTTTAATATTTAAAAAAGTTTGCTGTTAAAGAAATATTACGATATATATCACTTTACTTATACACTTTAATGGATATGAGAAAGAGAAGGTAAAATTTCTAATCTAGAGATAAAATTTATTGATGATACGAAGAGGAATCGAATTTGAAGATGGAGGAAGGACGAATGAAACGGATCGGAATAATGAGGAATAATCATTAAGGATTCTATTGAAAGGTCCTATTATCAACGCGAGACCAGTCCTGTGAGAGTACTTACTTTCTTTAACAAGACCTCCTCCCATGAACGTTGTGCACGTAATTGCCGACCAAGGAAGCAGAAACTGAGCTTTGAGGTCGCTAATTCTTTTAACAGTCCAAAAAATGGCGGGAATGGCGGGAAATAGTGATTCGAATTAGAGATAGGACCAATTTTTACTTTTAACTAGAGACTATTGAAAAATAAAATTATAAAAATTAATTTATTTAAAACGTGCTATTATAATTAAGTATTATGCATATCTATTGTACATATTTAAATTATACATATAATATAAGTGGAAAATGAGCTACAGCCGTTAAACTATAATTGAAGTTTAATATTTAATATTTATAACTTTAATATTTATTTTTATTTTATTAGAGAAATTGTGTTACTTGTATGCTGTAATGAATACAAATGTAATATAAAATAAATATGTATAAAATGTATATATCTCAAAAATGTATATAAAATAATATTAATTTATGATAATTATAATTATTAGAAAGAATTAAAAATGTGTTAGTAAAAATCTTTCATATTCAATTATGAATGGTGAAATATTCAATGGTGAAATAAAATTTATTAAGTTCTTACAGATAATTTATTTATTTCTTAAATATAGATTTTATTAATATTATACATGAAGAATATTGTTATACGTATTGCACTGCTATCACTTTAAAAAAATAGACTATCATGAGCAACGTTTTATTTAAAATAGGATATTAAGTTCTAAAATATCCAGTATGATGCTATTTTTAACAACTGCATAGTACAAGTATTACTTA